CACACACACACACACACACACACACACACACACACACACACACATGCATGCATGCTCTATATATACCTATAGATCTATATATATATATATTCTAATGCGATCCGATCTCTGTCGTCGTCGTCGTCGTCGCCGTCGTCTAGACGAAAATGACATTTAAATGAATCTATTTTATTGTCGCTTCGTCGCCATTTCAACACAGAAGCCCACCTACCGCTGCCACGCCCCCTTCTCGCCCACTTTGATTTTATAAATAAAAATGTTGTTCGTCTAGCCAATTGAGAGAAAATAGCAGCAAAAAAAACGAAAATAAAGAAAAGAAATGCAAAAAACTGCAGTGGAAGCGACGTCGGGGAGAGATTGGATGAAGGCGGCACTACAAGGTGTCTATTGGCAGCCTCAAAAAGCAAAAATTGCGCTAGATATACGTAGACATAGACCGAGAGAGAGAGCAAAAGAGACAGGGATAGAGGAATATATAAACAAAAGTGTTTATTTAAACATAAACATGAAGAGCATTAACTATAAAAGAAAATAGATAGATATATCAGGTATATAGAAGATTATATTTCGATTTGGTTGCATGGAACGTGTTGTTCAGCACGTAAGCCCAAAAGAGAAAGAAAAGACTGAAGTTAAGCCGAGAGTGACGGACCAAAAGATACCAGACATAAGTGTCTATAACTGTGATTGGTATTACGAAAATGACACGAGTTACCAGACATAAAAAAAAAATACGATAAACTCACTCTGAAGTTCCAGCTATGGGACCTGAGAACTAGTATTAGTTACAGCTGTTCAATCGAAACAAGTTAGACTAGTAATAGCAGAGATCTGAGCTATATGAACTAGTCTTAACTAGTCCAATCTACTCTTTCAAAGCCTTTATACTGTGTAAGCTAATATATATATTATTATAATAAAGATACTGAATTGGAATCTCAGAGTCATACTTATCATACCTATATATTATATCGTACTAGTCTATTCTACTCAGAATCACTTGAGAGCCAGACAAAATTCTTCTGAATGAAACTGTTAAGCAAATCAAATAATATCCGCCCCACTTTAATCCCCTCCTCGCTCTTGCTCACTCACTCACTTTCTCTATCCCACTCTCTAGCTGAAACACCTTTCACTTTTTTCTGGTATGCGTCTAATTTGTAAGAAAAACAAATTCGCTGAGAAGTGAAGAATTTCGCATGGAAAAATTTGCAAAAAAAAAAAAAAATATTTTTGTTCAGCATTTTTTTGATGTGCGTGAAGCTATTTATAGATGAATTAAAGATACATTTGTTGTAGTTGTAGTTGTTGGGGAATCATGCGAGTGTATCTAAATTATTATAATTTCTTGTTTGTTTTTATTTCTATTTGATTTTTTTTGGGGGGGCTCTGGCGACATGTTTAGCATAATTTGCGATGGACGTGAAGTGGGGTAGGTTTCGCTATAGACCTGGGGCAAAACCCGATCCAAGTTCTGTATACATATATGTATTTATGGTATATATATATAGATATATATAGATATAGTGATTTAATGATTCTACGATTTTACGATACCTGCATTGAGAGAATTCGAAATGAAGATGTGAGGCCCGCGGCTTCCTTTTTCGGCGGCAACGTGTAAATTTACTGAGCACCGAAGGTGCGACACAACAGCAATAAAAGGCAAAACAGAATGTTGAAAGAAAAGTGAAAAGAGTTGAACAAAACGGAGAAAACGATTTGAGCGTGTTACGATTTGGGATAAATAGTGACGCAGGATTGTTCGTATTCATAACTAAAGCAAGGCCTACTGCGAGCTAAATCAAAAACAAATCGAAGCAAAGCAAAGCAAAAACAAAAACAAAAACAAAAACAAAAAAAGAAATACACAAAAGTCGCACGTAAAACACTGTTGTTTTGATTCTGCCTCTTTCTGCTAAGCGGAAGTTGTAAAAATGCGCTTATGAATGAAAATGCACGCAATGCAAACACAAATACAAACGCAAGAGGCCCAACAACAAATTCAAAACAGAAAAGCAAATGCAAATGCAAACTGCAAACATTTCAATTGGAGTAAGCGAGTGAGCGAACGTTGGCTCACTCGCACTCGCATACACACACACACACGCCAAAGCTCGCTCGCTCGCTCTCTTCATCTCTGTTTGACTTACGTCGTTTACATTGGACGCGCGCTCTGTTTGTGTATTTTATGTTGTAATTGCGTTTTACGGTACAAATTCCAATGGGCCACGCACTGAGAGTCTGCCACACTTAGTAAGAAGAAGATGCGCGCGCGTATTTCCTTATCTGTGTGCGTGCGTGCCTGCGTGTGTGTGCCTGTGTGTGTATTTCATATATTTTTGCTTACACACAATTTCTCAGCACTTTTTCGCACTTTTAATATGTTTTCATAAAACTTACTTTAATTTATAATTATTTTTGACTTTTTCTATTAGACTTTCGCAAAGGCAAAAATTTCCACGACGAATGAACAGGAACACACACGAACAAGAAAACGATGACGACGTTGTTGTTGGCAGTATGTATGTATGTATATACATTTATATATGTGTGTGTATTTAGGAACTTCTTTTTAAGCTATTGAACGAATTTAGAGCGAAGCACAAAAACGTAATGAAAACGACACCACAAGCACAACAATTTATGAGACGAAAACTTTACTGCTGCTGCTGCTTCCTTTTATTTATTATTATTATTATTTTTTTTTTTATGTAATTTGTTTGGCCTTTTGCGGTGTATTATTTAATCGCACAGAGAGCAAAGCGCGAACACATATATTGATAATCAAAACATACATACACACACAAGTTTGGGGCGTTTCGCATGTATATATGAGTGTGTGTGTGTGTGTTTTTGTGTGCGTGCGTCTGTTTTGAGCGAAACGCGTGCACAATCGAAACGAAACGAAACGTCCGGTTTCAAAGCGTCACAAAAACTAATCAGAAGTGAAAAGCACAAAATGATGTGGGCCCCAACAAGCCAGCAGCAGGCAGCCGCAGCCGCAGCACCAGCGCACGAGAGAGCTCCGAATAGACCAACAGCAAGTGAGAGAGCGAGCCGAGTCAAGTCGAGCCGATTCGATGTTATATGCATAATGGGGCCAAAGCAGCGCAGCCGCCGCTCAATGAGATTTGTGGTTATTGTTGTTGCTCGGCTCGGTTGCTTCTGGCGCCTTCAATTTTTTTTTTTTTTCTTTACAAGGCGAACAAGTTGTGCGTCAGGTCGTGAGAGCAAACAGAGGCAGAGAGAGAGAGAGAGAGAGAGAGAGCGCAAGCGAGCGAGCGAATGCACACAAGAGAACGAACCTAAGCGCCTGGTAATTGTAGGTTTTAATGCTTCATAATTGTTGTTGTTGCTGTCTGTATATATGTATGTACATACATACATATGTAATAGTGTCTAGGTTTTGCCGTAGACATAAATGGCATCCACATAACAATGCCCGCCGACCCCTTGCAGCTAAATGCTGCCTTCCACAACAATTCAATCCACACAGAGGAAGAGAGAGAGAGAGAGAGAGAGCGCGCGCCAGCAAACGGTTTGTTTTCGTTGCTCTTTTTCTGTTTTTGTTTTAAAGAGGCACCCGCATTCCTAACTGTAAACAAGCAAGAAGAAGAATGCATGCGCTGCCGCTGCCTGGAAAAACTCGTTTTTCCCGCTGGAAAAATGTGTGCACACACACAAACACACGTGAAATACACAGCAACAAAAAAACAACACAAAAAGAATTTAAAGAATTTGTAGCCCACAAGAGAGCGCGTAAAACGACGTCGACTTCGAGATGTAAAAATAAACAACAAAACTCGGGTGGAAAAACACGAAGCATACACGCATACACACACACTCATGGATACGCACACGCATATCGAGCGTGCATAGGTAGACGAGACAAGGACAAGGAAGCGGAGAACAAAACAAAATGTATGTGTGTGCGTGTGTATGTGTTGAACGAAAACGAAGGCAAAAGACAAGACACAACACAGGAGACAATAATAACACTACTAAAAGCAACAACAACGACTGGGAAAAAGCCTGTAGTAAACAAAACAAATGGCGGGCGCGGCTGCGACGGCAACTGAGACGCCGACGGCGACGTCAACGTCAATGTAAATAAATATTATAAAATATGCATTGGTGTATGTGTGTGTGTGTGTGTGTGTGCCATGCACAAGTGAAAGGCACAAAAGGAAACAAAATGGGAGTGGGCAGAGCGGGAAGCTGGAGAACGGGCAACGTGCCGGGGCAAGGGAAGAGGAACAGAGGCCGATTACAGAGAAAATGAAATAAATAAATAAATTTATTTATTATTTAGTTGTTTTCGTCTTGCGCTCATTTTAATTGTCAATAAAATCAAACAACAAAAAAACAATTAAAATCAGCTGCCAGCAGCAAAACAATTTTTATTCTTATTTGTTTGTTTGTTTTGCTTAACAATCTAACAACAATTTGCTAAATATTTTTGATTTCGATTTTAGCAAAACTAAGACATGTATACACTTATTTTTAACATCTTTTATATATTACTGAACGTATAAATAAAATGTACTAAGTATAAAAATACAATTTCTTTTTAGTCAAGTTTCACAAAATAATTTTAACATTTTTATTATAGCATTATATTACATTTTTGTTTTTTATAGTTTATTTTTATTAATTTTTTTTTTCTTTTTGAGTTTTCTTATATTTATTATTATTTATATTTTTCTTGTTATATAAACTACTTTTTTATATATTTTTTTAATAGTTTACGTTTATTTTTGTTGATAAACAAAACTAATGTTTAGTTTTATTTTTTATTTATTAAGGGTATTGACAAAAAGTCAATTTTTGGTGGTACATTTTAGATTTTTTTTTTTTATTATTTTCCATTCATTATTTTTAATTAAGTATTTTTATTATTTATTTAATATTTTTTATTTATTTATTTAATATTTTTATATTGAATAAAAAAAATATACAAATAAATATAATTATTTTATGTATAAATATAATTTTTTTACAAACAGTAATTTTATAGCTTTTGTAATTTTCTCGAACTATTGAGAAATCGAAAATTTTCCAAGACAAAACTCGGGCAAAAGAAAACAAAATAAAATTTTCCCTAGCTTTCATTAGGGAATTACAACAATTTCCTTTAGGCCATAAAATAATGCACATATTTTGTGGATTATTATTATTATTATTATTATTTTTTTTTTAGGAGTCTTGGGTTGATCTGAAAAGTTGTGGTTTATATTTACCTTAATGGACTTTAATTTTCGCACAACAAAATTGTTGATTTTATTGGACCAGCTTTTGCATTTCATGAGTAGGCCGTTTCGGGGGCTGCGGGGCGGTGGGGGCTGTTGGATAGGAGCTTCGATCCTGAGCCAAACAGAGCGCACGCACGCACACACACACACGATTACCAACACGGACACTAGCACTGACACTGAACGTTACACGTTACAATGTAATGGGTTTTGTAATGTGTTTGTTTGGATTTCTTGAGAATTCAGTTTGCTTTTTTCCTTATTTATTTTGATTTGCTTTGAAGAGGTTCCGTTGTATTTGGTAGGCTCTTTGCCTTGGCTTGCATTTACTTCACCATTTCTTGAGTTTACAGTTAACATTTAACAGTTATTTTGGTTTTGACTGAGCGACGAAGAAATACAATAATATTTATGTTTTTGATAATTTGCTTCCTTTTACAGTTTGGCGAGCGCGTTGCGAAAAAAACTCAAAAGGAGAGTGTGTAATCGAATACACAGTGAAAACAAAAAACGAGAATAAACAGAAACGACAGCCGACAGGCGATTTATTTTGTTGGCCTGTTTGTTATATATTTTGCTGCTCGCGAAGCGCACTCCGAACCAAACGGTGAAAAGTTTTAAATGGTACTGAACGAGCTGGAATAAGACGCTAGCGAGTAAGCCACAGAAAATGTACACAGAGCTCTGCTACTACTGGCAAGTGAAACACACAAGCGCACACAGCCAGAGAGAGAGAGACAAGAGCCAAAGAGCGCGCGTTTCATTTCCAAATGTGTCGTCGGCTGTGCTTATGTGGACTGTGGGCCATTCGCTGTTCAATTGCAGTGCATCAAGTCTGCCAGTCCCTTAGTGTTTCGCACACTCACACGCATGGACATGAATTTATGTTCGGACAGCGACGCCGGCGCCAAAGCAGCGCATGCACCGTTAGAGGCATTGATCGTACGCAGTGCAAAGAGGAATAGCAGAACACCAGCGACGCTGTCCCAGCTTGCCCCTACGCCTATAGTGAGCTCTGATTTGCGTATAAAGAATCAATTAGCGTACCGTTATTTCGCCTTGCAGTTCGCTTGAACAGTTGTTGCATTACATATTTATGGGAAAATGACGCACTTGTTTTTGTGGCACAACTGTGACTCAGAGAGCATTTCTTTCTCGAGAGTTCGAGATTGTTACTCTCTTTCTACTTTTTCCCCATTGTGCATATTTGGATTTTGTTCGCTGCGCCCAATTAAAGACACAAATGGAATTTCAACTATTTGCCTCCGATCGAGCTGATCGCTCTGTGCGATTCATTCTGTTGCAACACATTCCACAGATACGCTCCACAATTCACTCGCGTGCTGTCGTTTTTCACAGAGTAAAGAGAGACACAGACGTTTCGTTTCCCATCTGTTTCTTGTTTTGGTTTCTATTTCAAAGTATGTGAGTGTGTGCAAAGCGCGCGCATTTTTCATGTCACTGTATGTGTAGAAATTCACTTGCTAGCTGCTGCGCTGCTCTCCTTTTACGTTTTACTATAAAACGAACGGAAGTTGAACATACTGATGAGCGAGAGGGCAAGCGTGCGAGTGCGAACGGGACGCAGCGAAAACAAAACATTAAATTTAAGGGGAAGCTTCATTTGAGGCCAGCAGCCGCTGCAGGCTGCACGGCCAGCAGCGCAGCGCAGCGCACAGTGCTGCTTATGTCGCAGTCAACGTGAATTGGTCACAATTTTTGGTAGCCGTTTTGATGTTGTCTTTCTTTCTGCTATCGCATAAGCTGAATGCATGTTGTATATGACTTTTCGTTGGTTTTTTTTTTTTTTTTTTTTTTTTTTTTTTTTGCAGCAATCTAGAAATTTCACCTATGCGAATGTGTTTTATGCAGGCCCATAATCTATCTTAGCGATACGATTAGATAATTCTACTAAAATTAACCAATTGCTACGATATGACAGGCTCTCAAGATTATGGTGACGGCTCGAGTATAGTAATCACTCGAAAAAGGCAAATCAATTAAACGGGAAATTTTCCCAGAAACTCAAATTGGCATTTTCAGTTATAAATAACTGATATAACTGGTTCTTTTTGGTAGTAAAGTCAATAAGAACTATTTGGTAAACACTTTTAAATTTTTCCCATGTTTGTAAGTCGAGTTATGAAAGCTCTATTTATATTATCTTGTCATATTTTGACTCTTACGTATGACATAACTCTAGCATATGATAGAATATTATGAATTATGACCCTACAGACAGTTCCCGATAAGTTAGTCAATAAGGCGAAGTCAAAAACTCGAGTTATGAATAGGCTATAGAGTTAAAAATAGAATTTTATGCATAGACTGGTAAGCTGCAAAGTGTTTTACAACTGTGTGCCAAAAACTACCCTATTGGGATAACTGTTAACTGGGTCCGTTTGTCCGAATCTCGAGATAGCCATGAACTTGAGTCAAAACTTTGCAGAATCAAGTTCCACAGAGAACTTTTGCTAGTTATTACCAGTAACCAGTATTTACTTTTAGTTTTTATTAGGAATTTTGCGGTTTCTGAGTTCTGGAAACTCTCGAATCATAATATCAATTTGCAGTATCACTTGATTCATTTCATTCGGTTAGTTTTTATAGTTCACATATGTTTCTATTTGATGGTATTTGTGATTTATGCTTAAATGTTGATTTGTTTTAGGGGATTTTTTTTTTGTTATTTTTATTTTTAGCTAATTCATTTGTTAATGAACAAACAAAATTTGTTGTAGTTTTTTCTCTAAATTTTATTTGATATTTTAGCCAAAAATATTTAGGAAATTAGCATTTTTAATGGGGAACAAGACGAGACACAATGTCGCCTAGGCAAAAGCTAAAAAAATATTTCATTTGCATAAAAATCGTGCAAAGGCTGAAACAAAAATCTCGCTGGATATTGATTATTGATTCTAGTTTGTTGTTGTTGTTGTTGTAGTTCGGTAAGCATAAAACAAGAAATTCTCAAATGAAACTAGCTTAACACTGACTGACTGCACGATACTCGCTTTCGGTATAAAATAAAATTCTAGATTTCCCAGATGGATTCACGGATGGAAGGATGAAAAGAAAGACACATAGACAACAGCCTGACGGACTGAGAGACGTACAGAGCGACAGATAGAAGGAAGACAGATTATCTAAGGGCTCCACAGATATTTCAGTCCCAGTCCTAAGCCCATACACTCTCTCTTCGCTTCATAAACGGTCATCAAAACTGAAAAAAAAAGCTTCGCTCACGCATTCGTCGAATCATTAGCGCGAATTTCAAACTTGATAAATGAACGCGGCGCATATTTGCTTTTTCTAATTCTTCTTCTTGTATTTTTAGGTTTTTTCTTTTTTTAAATTTATTTATTTTAGTTTTGTTTGCATAGAGTTCACAGTTTTATAACGCTTTGATCACTTTGTTCACCTGTTCCGTTTAATTGGCTCGCGTTCGGAACCGGTTCCGAGTGAGTTTTTCGCCTGCTCTTTCGGTTTTCGATTTTCTGTTTGGTGTTTTGTGTCTCAATTGAACAGTTCACATTTAGTTATCACTAAGTTAGGCCCATTAATTTAGCTTTGACCCTGGGCTGATCTCTTGCCTCCTTTTTATAATGGCTAATTATGTATTTGATTTGGTATTTTGTGCAGTGAAAGCGCTCGGATTGGAATTTCTTGCCCAATCATTAGTTAACGAAATGGGGAATATTTGTCTATATCCATAATCACATTTACATTCATATTCATTCAAGCTGCAGGCGAAACAGATAGTTTCCATGGGCTGAAGGTCGTCACATCTCATAGTGACACGCAGACCTGTGCATAACTCGACTTCTGCTGAAGCAACTCACTTAAAATTTTCAGTGTATGTGTGGGAATAGGTGAATACAAAGTATGCCCAATTTCAGTCAGTTTGAGTTTAGCGAGAGCTAGTTACGGATATATATATATACATAGGTGATAATAGGAAATCTATTCCCAAGTGAATGCCACAAAAAAAAGAGAAATAAACATAATTTCATGAAAAGTTATTCATGTAAAGATATTTTCATATAGCTCTGATATTCATAGAGGAAATTGCCATAAAGCTTGGAGTGGAGCATTCAATTTGCAAAGTGTTTGGCGCCATGGGGCGTGAAAATGAAATTGGCGCCAAACGAATTTGCAACGCTCAATTTAAAATATAAAGTACAACTGTGTATTAATAAATTCTAAACGCAACGTAACTCTGTTCCGAATGGCATGGAGCACTACGAGCGACCCGCAGACCAATCGACCTGCGGGCGTACCTAAAAGATATTGCATAGCGCCTGCAATAAATAATTGACAGAGGCGCCAAACGAATGCAAACCGAGGGGCGAGGGGGAGGGGGAAAAAGGGGTGCGGTCGGCTGAGAGTGTGGGACAGCAGTTCCGATTGGCGGGAAAGTTCAACTCGAGAGAGTTTTTATTTTTTCTGTTTTTCTTTTTTTTTTTTACAAGTGCGGAAGAGCTGTCTATAGTTCATATTTGAGTGCGGGTTCAATTGGGGTATTATAGAAGAGATACCACTTTGGGGTAGTTACAGTTATGGAGAGGTATAAAACCCTAGAGTTTTATTACATGTGATTTTTCTTTAAGCACCATTTGGTATTTTCACATGAAAACGCAATTGAAATAATTTCTTGTTCTTAAATTTTGTAATTGCTTTGGCTAATTTTTAGTTAATTAGGCTGAGAAAACTAATTAAGTTATTGCCAACATACGTAGGCAGGTATATAGAGGTGATACCCTGTAAATGCTTTTAATTGAATGAATATATTTTATTCATACTTATATCAGATTTTATACGTG